ACTGCACCAGAGGCAGCAACACTTACACTGCACCAGAGGCAGCAACACTTACACTGCACCAGAGGCAGCAACACTACACCAGAGGCAGCAACACTTACACTACACCAGAGGCAGCAACACTTATACTACACCAGAGGCAGCAACACTACACCAGAGGCAGCAACACTTATACTACACCAGAGGCAGCAACACTACACCAGAGGCAGCAACACTTACACTACACCAGAGGCAGCAACACTTACACTGCACCAGAGGCAGCAACACTGCACCAGAGGCAGCAACACTTGTACTACACCAGAGGCAGCAACACTACACCAGAGGCAGCAACACTTATACTACACCAGAGGCAGCAACACTACACCAGAGGCAGGAACACTTATACTACACCAGAGGCAGCAACACTTACACTACACCAGAGGCAGCAACACTTACACTACACCAGAGGCAGCAACACTTACACTACACCAGAGGCAGCAACACTTACACTACACCAGAGGCAGCAACACTTACACTACACCAGAGGCAGCAACACTTACACACCAGAGGCAGCAACACTTAGACTACACCAGAGGCAGCAACACTTACACTACACCAGAGGCAGCAACACTTACACTACACCAGAGGCAGCAACACTTACACTACACCAGAGGCAGCAACACTTACACTACACCAGAGGCAGCAACACTTACACTACACCAGAGGCAGCAACACTTACACTACACCAGAGGCAGCAACACTTACACTACACCAGAGGCAGCAACACTTACACTACACCAGAGGCAGCAACACTTACACTACACCAGAGGCAGCAACACTTACACTACACCAGAGGCAGCAACACTTACACTACACCAGAGGCAGCAACACTTACACTACACCAGAGGCAGCAACACTTACACTACACCAGAGGCAGCAACACTTACACTGCACCAGAGGCAGCAACACTTACACTGCACCAGAGGCAGCAACACTGCACCAGAGGCAGCAACACTTACACTGCACCAGAGGCAGCAACACTTACACTACACCAGAGGCAGCAACACTGCACCAGAGGCAGCAACACTTACACTGCACCAGAGGCAGCAACACTTACACTACACCAGAGGCAGCAACACTACACCAGAGGCAGCAACACTTACACTACACCAGAGGCAGCAACACTTACACTACACCAGAGGCAGCAACACTTACACTACACCAGAGGCAGCAACACTGCACCAGAGGCAGCAACACTACACCAGAGGCAGCAACACTACACCAGAGGCAGCAACACTTACACTGCACCAGAGGCAGCAACACTTACACTGCACCAGAGGCAGCAACACTTACACTGCACCAGAGGCAGCAACACTTACACTGCACCAGAGGCAGCAACACTTACACTACACCAGAGGCAGCAACACTTACACTGCACCAGAGGCAGCAACACTGCACCAGAGGCAGCAACACTTACACTGCACCAGAGGCAGCAACACTTACACTGCACCAGAGGCAGCAACACTTACACTGCACCAGAGGCAGCAACACTGCACCAGAGGCAGCAACACTGCACCAGAGGCAGCAACACTACACCAGAGGCAGCAACACTTACACTACACCAGAGGCAGCAACACTTACACTACACCAGAGGCAGCAACACTTACACTACACCAGAGGCAGCAACACTTACACTACACCAGAGGCAGCAACACTTACACTACACCAGAGGCAGCAACACTTACACTACACCAGAGGCAGCAACACTTACACTACACCAGAGGCAGCAACACTTACACTGCACCAGAGGCAGCAACACTTACACTGCACCAGAGGCAGCAACACTTACACTGCACCAGAGGCAGCAACACTTACACTGCACCAGAGGCAGCAACACTGCACCAGAGGCAGCAACACTGCACCAGAGGCAGCAACACTTACACTGCACCAGAGGCAGCAACACTGCACCAGAGGGTGCAACACTGCACCAGAGGCAGCAACACTTACACTGCACCAGAGGCAGCAACACTTAACACTACACCAGAGGCAGCAACACTTACACTGCACCAGAGGCAGCAACACTTACACTGCACCAGAGGCAGCAACACTTACACTACACCAGAGGCAGCAACACTTACACTGCACCAGAGGCAGCAACACTTACACTGCACCAAAGGCAGCAACACTTACACTGCACCAGAGGCAGCAACACTTACACTGCACCAGAGGCAGCAACACTTACACTGCACCAGAGGCAGCAACACTTACACTGCACCAGAGGCAGCAACACTTACACTACACCAGAGGCAGCAACACTTACACTACACCAGAGGCAGCAACACTACACCAGAGGCAGCAACACTTACACTACACCAGAGGCAGCAACACTTACACTGCACCAGAGGCAGCAACACTGCACCAGAGGCAGCAACACTTACACTGCACCAGAGGCAGCAACACTTACACTACACCAGAGGCAGCAACACTGCACCAGAGGCAGCACACTTACACTGCACCAGAGGCAGCAACACTTACACTACACCAGAGGCAGCAGCACTTACACTACACCAGAGGCAGCAACACTTACACTGCACCAGAGGCAGCAACACTGCACCAGAGGCAGCAACACTTACACTGCACCAGAGGCAGCAACACTTACACTGCACCAGAGGCAGCAACACTTACACTGCACCAGAGGCAGCAACACTTACACTGCACCAGAGGCAGCAACACTTACACTGCACCAGAGGCAGCAACACTTACACTGCACCAGAGGCAGCAACACTTACACTACACCAGAGGCAGCAACACTTACACTGCACCAGAGGCAGCAACACTGCACCAGAGGCAGCAACACTACACCAGAGGCAGCAACACTTACACTACACCAGAGGCAGCAACACTTACACTACACCAGAGGCAGCAACACTTACACTACACCAGAGGCAGCAACACTTACACTACACCAGAGGCAGCAACACTTACACTACACCAGAGGCAGCAACACTTACACTACACCAGAGGCAGCAACACTTACACTACACCAGAGGCAGCAACACTTACACTACACCAGAGGCAGCAACACTTACACTACACCAGAGGCAGCAACACTTACACTACACCAGAGGCAGCAACACTTACACTACACCAGAGGCAGCAACACTTACACTACACCAGAGGCAGCAACACTTACACAACACCAGAGGCAGCAACACTTACACAACACCAGAGGCAGCAACACTTACACTACACCAGAGGCAGCAACACTTACACTACACCAGAGGCAGCAACACTTACACTACACCAGAGGCAGCAACACTTACACTGCACCAGAGGCAGCAACACTACACCAGAGGCAGCAACACTACACCAGAGGCAGCAACACTTACACTGCACCAGAGGCAGCAACACTTACACTACACCAGAGGCAGCAACACTTACACTACACCAGAGGCAGCAACACTGCACCAGAGGCAGCAACACTTACACTGCACCAGAGGCAGCAACACTTACACTACACCAGAGGCAGCAGCACTTACAATACACCAGAGGCAGCAACACTTACACTGCACCAGAGGCAGCAACACTGCACCAGAGGCAGCAACACTTACACTGCACCAGAGGCAGCAACACTTACACTGCACCAGAGGCAGCAACACTTACACTGCACCAGAGGCAGCAACACTTACACTGCACCAGAGGCAGCAACACTTACACTGCACCAGAGGCAGCAACACTTACACTGCACCAGAGGCAGCAACACTTACACTGCACCAGAGGCAGCAACACTTACACTACACCAGAGGCAGCAACACTTACACTACACCAGAGGCAGCAACACTTACACTACACCAGAGGCAGCAACACTTACACTACACCAGAGGCAGCAACACTTACACTACACCAGAGGCAGCAACACTTACACTACACCAGAGGCAGCAACACTTACACTACACCAGAGGCAGCAACACTTACACTACACCAGAGGCAGCAACACTTACACTACACCAGAGGCAGCAACACTTACACTACACCAGAGGCAGCAACACTTACACTACACCAGAGGCAGCAACACTTACACTACACCAGAGGCAGCAACACTTACACTACACCAGAAGCAGCAACACTTACACAACACCAGAGGCAGCAACACTTACACTACACCAGAGGCAGCAACACTTACACTACACCAGAGGCAGCAACACTACACCAGAGGCAGCAACACTTACACTGCACCAGAGGCAGCAACACTACACCAGAGGCAGCAACACTACACCAGAGGCAGCAACACTTACACTGCACCAGAGGCAGCAACACTTACACTACACCAGAGGCAGCAACACTTACACTACACCAGAGGCAGCAACACTTACACTACACCAGAGGCAGCAACACTTACACTGCACCAGAGGCAGCAACACTACACCAGAGGCAGCAACACTACACCAGAGGCAGCAACACTTACACTGCACCAGAGGCAGCAACACTTACACTACACCAGAGGCAGCAACACTTACACTACACCAGAGGCAGCAACACTTACACTACACCAGAGGCAGCAACACTTACACTACACCAGAGGCAGCAACACTTACACTACACCAGAGGGAGCAACACTTATATAGTCACAATAGTGTTGAGGGTAAATAATGAAGCGTCAACCACCACACAGGCGGGACGAGGGCTCCCGCCAGTAAGCTCCAGTAAGCCTCCATAAGCCTACCTCAACCTGCATTTTCAATTCTGCTTTCCACCCTTCCCTCCCAGGACACTGTCTGCTGGCCTTGCACGTCTGCTGGCCTGCACGGCTGCGTGCCTGCACGTCGGCTGGCCTGCACGGCTGCTGGCCTGCACGGCTGCTGGCCTGCACGGCTGCGTGCCTGCACGTCGGCTGGCCTGCACGTCGGCTGGCCTGCACGGCTGCTGGCTTGCACGGCTGCTGGCCTGCACGGCTGCTGGCCTGCACGGCTGCTGGCCTGCACGGCTGCTGGCCTGCACGGCTGCTGGCCTGCACGGCTGCTGGCCTGCACGGCTGCTGGCCTGGACGGCTGCTTGCCTGCACGTCTGCTGGCCTGGACGGCTGCTGGCCTGGACGGCTGCTGGCCTGGACGTCTGCTGGCCTGGACGGCTGCTGGACTGCACGTCTGCTGGCCTGGACGGCTGCTGGCCTGGACGGCTGCTGGCCTGGACGGCTGCGTGCCTGCACGTCTGCTGGCCTGAACGGCTGCGTGCCTGCACGTCTGCTGACCTGGACGGCTGCGTGCCTGCACGTCTGCTGGCCTGGACGGCTGCGTGCCTGCACGTCTGCTGGCCTGGACGGCTGCTGGCCTGCACGGCTGCGTGCCTGCACGTCTGCGTGCCTGCACGTCTGCTGGCCTGGACGGCTGCGTGCCTGGACGTCTGCTGGCCTGGACGGCTGCGTGCCTGCACGTCTGCTGTCCTGGACGGCTGCGTGCCTGCACGGCTGCTGGCCTGCACGGCTGCTGGCCTGCACGGCTGCGTGCCTGCACGGCTGCGGGCCTGCACGGCTGCGTGCCTGCACGTCTGCTGGCCTGCACGTCTGCTGGCCTGCACGTCTGCTGGCCTGCACGTCTGCGTGCCTGCACGTCTGCTGGCCTGGACGGCTGCGTGCCTGCACGTCTGCTGGCCTGCACGGCTGCTGGCCTGCACGGCTGCGTGCCTGCACGGCTGCTGGCCTGGACGGCTGCGTGCCTGCACGTCTGCTGGCCTGGACGGCTGCGTGCCTGCACGTCTGCTGGCCTGGACGGCTGCGTGCCTGCACGTCTGCTGGCCTGGACGGCTGCGTGCCTGCACGTCTGCTGGCCTGGACGGCTGCGTGCCTGCACGTCTGCTGGCCTGGACGGCTGCGTGCCTGCACGTCTGCTGGCCTGGACGGCTGCGTGCCTGCACGTCTGCTGGCCTGGACGGCTGCGTGCCTGCACGTCTGCTGGCCTGGACGGCTGCGTGCCTGCACGTCTGCTGGCCTGCACGGCTGCGTGCCTGCACGTCTGCTGGCCTGGACGGCTGCGTGCCTGCACGTCTGCTGGCCTGGACGGCTGCTGGCCTGCACGGCTGCTGGCCTGCACGACTGCGTGCCTGCACGGCTGCGTGCCTGCACGGCTGCGTGCCTGCACGGCTGCTGGCCTGGACGGCTGCGTGCCTGCACGTCTGCTGGCCTGCACGGCTGCGGGCCTGCACGGCTGCGGGCCTGCAAGGCTGCTGGCCTGCACGGCTGCTGGCCTGCACGGCTGCTGGCCAGCACGGCTGCGTGCCTGCACGTCTGCTGGCCTGCACGGCTGCTGGCCTGCACGGCTGCTGGCCTGCACGACTGCTGGCCTGCACGTCTGCGTGCCTGCACGTCTGCGTGCCTGCACGTCTGCGTGCCTGCACATCTGCTGGCCTGCACGGCTGCTGGCCTGCACGTCTACGTGCCTGCACGTCTGCTGGCCTGCACGACTGCTGGCCTGCACGTCTGCTGGCCTGGACGGCTGCTGGCCTGCACGTCGGCTGGCCTGCACGTCGGCTGGCCTGCACGGCTGCTGGTCTGCACGGCTGCTGGCCTGCACGGCGGCTGGCCTGCACGTCGGCTGGCCTGCACGTCGGCTGGCCTGCACGTCGGCTGGCCTGCACGTCGGCTGGCCTGCACGTCGGCTTGCTTAAGGGTGGAGGTTATCTTGAGATGATTTCGGGGCTTAGCGTCCCCGCGGCCCGGTCCTCGACCAGGCCTCCTTTTTGGTACACCCCCCCCCCCCCCAGGAAGCAGCCTATAGCTGCTGTATAATTCCCAGGTACCTATTTAGTGCTATGTGAACAGGTGCATGAGGGTGAAAGAAACTCTGCCCATTTGTCTCCGCCTCCCCCGGGAACCGAACCCGGAACCTCAGGACTACGAATCCGAAGTGCTGTCCACTCAGCTGTCAGGCCGAAGATAAGAGTGAAAGAGGATAAGGATGGACATTGAGGAACAAGGATGAGGGTGAAGTATGAGTGGGATGAGAAGTGTGGCGGTGTGTTCCCCTTGGTACTGATGTAGCAGTGTAGCGGAGACTTGTCTGTTAGTGATGTGTGGCTGGTGGAGCCGGGATTGACACTAACGGAGCAGCCGGGATTGACACTAACGGAGCAGCCGGGATTGACACTAACGGAGCAGCCGGGATTGACACTAACGGAGCAGCCGGGATTGACGCTATAGCAGCCGGGATTGACGCTATAGCAGCCGGGATTGACACTATTGCAGCCGGGATTGACACTATTGCAGCCGGGACTGACACTATAGGTCCTGTTTCCCTGCCAGGCGTACGACAAACCGTGTTGCTCACAGAGTTGGTATACTCTGTGATAATTGTATATTAGTATACTGTAAAGGTTGATGCTAGGTATACTTTGAACTGATTAAACAAGTAAATGTTTGTATGGAAGAGTAAGTGATGTTACTGTACGATCAGTTCTACGAGCTGGCAGCAACCGCATAGGAGGAGGTTTTTTCTTCTCTATCTGGTGATGCCGAGATTCAATTTCATTATTATTCACCCCATACCCATCCCGTGGGCGGTGGTGGACCCCATACCCATCCCCTGGGCGGTGTCATAAGTGTTCAAAGGGGATTTATTATGTGTCGTGTAGGTCAGTGTTTTGAGGCGTCAAGTGTTGGCCTTACAGGGGTGGTCTAGGGTGACCACGGGAGGGGTGACCACGGGAGGGGTGGTCTAGGGTGACCACGGGAGGGGTGACCACGGGAGGGGTGGTCAAGGGTGACGGGAGGGGTGGTCTAGGGTGACCACGGGAGGGGTGGTCTAGGGTGACCACGGGAGGGGTGGTCTAGGGTGACCACGGGAGGGGTGGTCTAGGGTGACCACGGGAGGGGTGGTCTAGGGTGACCACGGGAGGGGTGGTCTAGGGTGACCACGGGAGGGGTGGTCTAGGGTGACCACGGGAGGGGTGGTCTAGGGTGACCACGGGAGGGGTGGTCTAGGGTGACCACGGGAGGGGTGGTCTAGGGTGACCACGGGAGGGGTGGTCTAGGGTGACCACGGGAGGGGTGGTCTAGGGTGACCACGGGAGGGGTGGTCTAGGGTGACCACGGGAGGGGTGGTCTAGGGTGACCACGGGAGGGGTGGTCTAGGGTGACCACGGGAGGGGTGGTCTAGGGTGACCACGGGCAGCGGCACTCAACGTCACGTGTTGTGTGCCTTAAGGCAGGTGGACCTACCTGTAGTGTGCTGTAACCCTCGTCTCCTGCTCATGTGGAGTCACGGGGGATTATTGTAAGATCGAGCTGGTAAGGTATTTATTGCTCTACTTCAAGGGTCAATAAATTATATACTAAGGTTTTAACCAGGAGTTGCAATGTCTCTGGAGTTGATGTCTCAAGACGTCAGTCCATATATGGTTAGTTATACTTTCCTGGGAATTGTTCCCCCCTGGGGGCCGGGCCTGACCTAGCCTTACTAGTTAGGAACACCATTGCTTTTTTTTTTTTTTTTTTTTTGAGATATATACAAGAGTTGTTACATTCTTGTACAGCCACTAATACGCGTAGCGTTTCGGGCAAGTCCTTAATCCTATGGTCCCTGGAATACGATCCCCTGCCGCGAAGAATCGTTTTTTCATCCAAGTACACATTTTACTGTTGCGTTAAACAGAGGCTACAGTTAAGGAATTGCGCCCAGTAAATCCTCCCCGGCCAGGATACGAACCCATGACATAGCGCTCGCGGAACGCCAGGCGAGTGTCTTACCACTACACCACGGAGACTGCCTTAACCATTGACCCTACAGAGCAAGCACTCGCCATTAACAGGCTCTCCCCACGTATCAGCATTACTGCATGGACATTACGCAGGACTTATTTATTTCTGTATACAAGAGTTGTTACATTCGTGTAGAGCCACCAGCACACAGCGTCTCGGGCAGGGCCTTAATACTATGCTCCCTGCAACACGACCCGACTAATTATTTTTGAACAATCAACTTTGTGTTGAATGATGAGAGAAGTGGTGTGTGAGGTCGTTGTAGTACAGTCACTTGTGGTGGTGTGTACCATTAATGGGTGGTCTGGGTGTGGGAGCCAGAGTTCTTGTGTCTAACACAGTTGTCTCCTGGAGTGGTGGTTAAGTCGACCATCCATGACTTGGTAATGAGGGATCAGGTAGGCCAGCCCCTTCACCCGTCACCTTGTGTCTGCCCACCTGGGACACCACCCCCACACACACCCCCACACACACACCCATGTTTGGAGTGGAGACGACGGAGAGGAACAGGTGAAGGCAAAGTTTACAAAATATGAAACACAATGTGAGTTATGATAGCAGGCGGGCTGTCCCCGCCTTGCTGACACCATGTTATGACAGCAGGACCTCCTCCACCCCTACCAGCACCTGACACCCCCCCTCTACCAGCACCTGACACCCCCCCCCCTCTACCAGCACCTGACACCCCCCCTCTACCAGCACCTGACACCCCCCCCCTCTCTACCAGCACCTGACACCCCCCCATCCTCTACCAGCACCTGACACCCCCCCCGCCTCTACCAGCACCTGACACCCCCCCCCCCCCCCCCCCCCGCCTCTACCAGCACCTGACACCCCCCCCCCCGCCTCTACCAGCACCTGACACCCCCCCCCTCTACGCCTCTACCAGCACCTGACCACCCACCCCCCCCCCTCTACCAGCACCTGACACCCACCCCCCTCGCCTCTACCAGCACCTGACACCCACCCCCCGCCCTCCTACCAGCACCTGACACCCCCGCCCCCCGCCTCTACCAGCACCTGACACCCCACCCCCCCGCCTCTACCAGCACCTGACACCCCCCCCTCTACCAGCCTCTCTACCAGCACCTGACACCCCCCCCGCCTCTACCAGCACCTGACACCCCCCGCCTCTACCAGCACCTGACACCCCCCCCCCTCTACCAGCACCTGACACCCCCCCCCCCCTCTACCAGCACCTGACACCTCCCCCTCTACCAGCACCTGACACCCCCCTCTACCAGCACCTGACACCCCCCCTCTACCAGCACCTGACACCCCCCCCCCCAGCACCTCTACCAGCACCTGACACCTCCCATTCTATCAGCACCTGACACCCCCCCCCCTCTACCAGCACCTGACACCCCCCCCCCCACCTGCCTCTACCAGCACCTGACACCCCCCGCCTCTACCAGCACCTGACACCCCCCGCCTCTACCAGCACCTGACACCCCCCGCCTCTACCAGCACCTGACACCCCCGCCTCTACCAGCACCTGACACCCCCCGCCTCTACCAGCACCTGACACCCCCCCGCCTCTACCAGCACCTGACACCCCCCCCCCCTCTACCAGCACCTGACACCTCCCCCTCTACCAGCACCTGACACCCCCCCTCTCTACCAGCACCTGACACCCCCCCGCCTCTACCAGCACCTGACACCCCCCGCCTCTACCAGCACCTGACACCCCCCCTCTCTACCAGCACCTGACACCCCCCGCCTCTACCAGCACCTGACACCTCCCCCTCTACCAGCACCTGACACCCCCCCTCTCTACCAGCACCTGACACCCCCCGCCTCTACCAGCACCTGACACCCCCCCCTCTACCAGCACCTGACACCCCCCCGCCTCTACCAGCACCTGACACCCCCCCCCCCCTCTACCAGCACCTCATTACCCAGCCTTCACAAATAACTACCATGAAGACGAGGCAGAAGTGACCGCCAGGGAAGGTAGTTACCAGACGAGAGCACTGAGCCCATCACTATATAGCTCTTATGGGGTCTATATGGAGAGACTACCACCACTTGGACCACGGGGCCTGGCCAAGACCCCACCACTTGGACCACGGGGCCTGGCCAGGGCCCCACCACTTGGACCACGGGGCCTGGCCAAGACCCCACCACTTGGACCACGGGGCCTGGCCAAGACCCCACCACTTGGACCACGGGGCCTGGCCAGGGCCCCACCACTTGGACCACGGGGCCTGGCCAAGACCCCACCACTTGGACCACGGGGCCTGGCCAAGACCCCACCACTTGGACCACGGGGCCTGGCCAAGACCCCACCACTTGGACCACGGGGCCTGGCCAAGACCCCACCACTTGGACCACGGGGCCTGGCCAAGACCCCACCACTTGGACCACGGGGCCTGGCCAAGACCCCACCACTTGGACCACGGGGCCTGGCCAGGGCCCACCACTTTGACCGCGGGGCCTGGCCAAGACCCCACCACTTGGACCACGGGGCCTGGCCAGGACCCCACCACTTGGACCACGGGGCCTGGCCAGGACCCCACCACTTGGACCACGGGGCCTGGCCAGGACCCCACCACTTGGACCACGGGGCCTGGCCAGGACCCCACCACTTGGACCACGGGGCCTGGCCAGGACCCCACCACTTGGACCACGGGGCCTGGCCAGGACCCCACCACTTGGACCACGGGGCCTGGCCAGGACCCCACCACTTGGACCACGGGGCCTGGCCACGCCCCCACCACTTGGACCACGGGGCCTGGCCAGGGCCCCACCACTTGGACCACGGGGCCTGGCCAAGACCCCACCACTTGGACCACGGGGCCTGGCCAAGACCCCACCACTTGGACCACGGGGCCTGGCCAAGACCCCACCACTTGGACCACGGGGCCTGGCCAAGACCCCACCACTTGGACCACGGGGCCTGGCCAAGACCCCACCACTTGGACCACGGGGCCCGACCACTTGGACCACGGGGCCTGGCCAGGGCCCCACCACTTGGACCACGGGGCCTGGCCAAGACCCCACCACTTGGACCACGGGGCCTGGCCAGGGCCCCACCACTTGGACCACGGGGCCTGGCCAAGACCCCACCACTTGGACCACGGGGCCTGGCCAGGGCCCCACCACTTGGACCACGGGGCCTGGCCAGGGCCCCACCACTTGGACCACGGGGCCTGCCAAGACCCCACCACTTGGACCACGGGGCCTGGCCAGGGCCCCACCACTTGGACCACGGGGCCTGGCCAGGGCCCCACCACTTGGACCACGGGGCCTGGCCATGTCCCCACCACTTGGACCACGGGGCCTGGCCAGGGCCCCACCACTTGGACCACGGGGCCCGACCACTTAGACCACGGGCCTGGCCAGGGCCCCACCACTTGGACCACGGGGCCTGACCACTTGGACCACGGGGCCTGACCAGGGCCCGACCACTTGGACCGCGGGGCCTGGCCACTTGGACCACGGGGCCTGGCCAAGACCCCACCACTTGGACCACGGGGCCTGGTCAGGGCCCGAACAGCCAGTCTTCACAGTAACTAACAAGTCAGTCAGTCTTCACAGTAACTAACAAGTCAGTCAGTCTTCACAGTAACTAACAAGTCAGTCAGTCTTCACAGTAACTAACAACAGCCAGTCTTCACAGTAACTAACAGTCTTCACAGTAACTAACAGTCTTCACAGTAACTAACAGCCAGTCTTCACAGTAACTAACAGCCAGTCTTCACAGTAACTAACAACAGCCAGTCTTCACAGTAACTAACAACAGCCAGTCTTCACAGTAACTAACAACAGTCAGTCTTCACAGTAACTAACAACAACAGTCAGTCTTCACAGTAACTAACAACAACAGTCAGTCTTCACAGTAACTAACAACAACAGTCAGTCTTCACAGTAACTAACAACAACAGTCAGTCTTCACAGTAACTAACAACAGCAGTCAGTCTTCACAGTAACTAACAACAACAGTCAGTCTTCACAGTAACTAACAACAGCCAGTCTTCACAGTAACTAACAACAGCCAGTCTTCACAGTAACTAACAGTCTTCACAGTAACTAACAGTCTTCACAGTAACTAACAGTCTTCACAGTAACTAACAGTCTTCACAGTAACTAACAAGTCTTCACAGTAACTAACAAGTCTACACAGTAACTAACAGTCTTCACAGTAACTAACAGTCTTCACAGTAACTAACAGTCTTCACAGTAACTAACAGTCTTCACAGTAACTAACAGTCTTCACAGTAACTAACAGTCTTCACAGTAACTAACAGTCTTCACAGTAACTAACAGTCTTCACAGTAACTAACAGTCTAACAGTCACAGTAACTAACAGTCTTCACAGTAACTAACAGTCTTCACAGTAACTAACAGTCTTCACAGTAACTAACAGTCTTCACAGTAACTAACAGTCTTCACAGTAACTAACAGTCTTCACAGTAACTAACAGTCTTCACAGTAACTAACAGTCTTCACAGTACACTAACTAACAGTCTTCTTCACAGTAACTAACAGTCTTCACAGTAACAACAGTCTTCACAGTAACTAACAGTCTTCACAGTAACTAACAACAGTCTTCACAGTAACTAACAGTCTTCACAGTAACTAACAGTCTTCACAGTAACTAACAGTCTTCACAGTAACTAAGAACAGCCAGTCTTCACAGTAACTAACAACAGTCAGTCTTCACAGTAACTAACAACAGCCAGTCTTCACAGTAACTAACAGTCTTCACAGTAACTAACAGTCTTCACAGTAACTAACAACAGCCAGTCTTCACAGTAACTAACAACAGCCAGTCTTCACAGTAACTAACAACAGCCAGTCTTCACAGTAACTAACAACAGCCAGTCTTCACAGTAACTAACAACAGCCAGTCTTCACAGTAACAACAGTCTTCACAGTAACTAACAACAGCCAGTCTTCACAGTAACTAACAACAGCCAGTCTTCACAGTAACTAACAACAGCCAGTCTTCACAGTAACTAACAACAGCCAGTCTTCACAGTAACTAACAGTCTTCACAGTAACTAACAGTCTTCACAGTAACTAACAACAGCCAGTCTTCACAGTAACTAACAACAGCCAGTCTTCACAGTAACTAACAACAGCCAGTCTTCACAGTAACTAACAACAGCCAGTCTTCACAGTAACTAACAACAGCCAGTCTTCACAGTAACTAACAACAGCCAGTCTTCACAGTAACTAACAACAGCCAGTCTTCACAGTAACTAACAACAGCCAGTCTTCACAGTAACTAACAACAGCCAGTCTTCACAGTAACTAACAACAGCCAGTCTTCACAGTAACTAACAACAGCCAGTCTTCACAGTAACTAACAACAGCCAGTCTTCACAGTAACTAACAACAGCCAGTCTTCACAGTAACTAACAACAGCCAGTCTTCACAGTAACTAACAACAGCCAGTCTTCACAGTAACTAACAACAGCCAGTCTTCACAGTAACTAACAACAGCCAGTCTTCACAGTAACTAACAACAGTCAGTCTTCACAGTAACTAACAACAGCCAGTCTTCACAGTAACTAACAACAGCCAGTCTTCACAGTAACTAACAACAGCCAGTCTTCACAGTAACTAACAACAGCCAGTCTTCACAGTAACTAACAACAGCCAGGCTTCACAGTAACTAACAACAGTCAGTCTTCACAGTAACTAACAACAGCCAGTCTTCACAGTAACTAACAACAGCCAGTCTTCACAGTAACTAACAACAGCCAGTCTTCACAGTAACTAACAACAGTCAGTCTTCACAGTAACTAACAACAGCCAGTCTTCACAGTAACTAACAACAGCCAGTCTTCACAGTAACTAACAATAGCCAGTCTTCACAGTAACTAACAACGGGACAAAGAAAGTCTTCCATAATCACTCACCACCACCTACTCTTTTACTGCCAATCAGGCCGCCCTCCCTTTCTCTTCCCCCTCCCACTACCCGCCCACTACCTGCCCACTACCTGCCCAACATCTGCCAGCTGTCGCCAGTACCCAGCGTCCACCCTCCCTCCTGCTGCTGCTGCTGCTCTGGGTTACTGTCCACCTCGCTGACGGGGGGACGAGACCCCATCACGTGACGGGACGGGGGAGGGGAGGGAGCCAGGTCCAGAAAGTATTGTGTTCAATTGTTATCACCCTCCTGTATCTACCAGGTCGGGAGCCGGTCGGCCGAGCTGACAGCACGCTGGACTTGTGATCTTGGGGTCCTGGGTTCGATCCCAAGCGCCGGCGAGAAACAATGGGCAGAGTTTCTTTCACCCTATGCCCCTGTTACCTAGCGGTAAAATAGGTACCTGGGTGTTATTCGGCTGTCGCGGGCTGCTTCCTGGGGGTGGAGGCCTGGTCGAGGACCGGGCCGCGGGGACACTAAAGCCCCGAAATCATCTCAAGATAACGTCAAGATAACCACAACTGTCGCTAGTCTTTGTTCTACCTTTCACAGTCACCAGGTGACAAGGAGCGGCCCGTGGGAACCTCTTCCTCCATGACCAGGCGCTCGTGGCTACTGCTCCTCCTCCTGCTCCTCCTCCTAGTACTTCCTTCATTGACTCCAGTTGATTGACAGAGGCGGGGCCAAAGAGCCAGAGCTCAACCCCCGCAAGCACAACAAGGTGCGTACTTACAGTAACCAGGGAGCCGGTCGACTGAGCGGACAGCACACTGGACTTGTGATCCTGTGGTCCCGGGTTCGATCCCGGGCGCCAGCGAGAAACAATGGCCAGAGTTTCTTTCACCCTATGCCCCTATCAGAAAAATAGGTAACGTAGTTAGTCAGCTGTCACGGGCTGCTTCCTGAGGGTAGAGGCCTGGACGAGGACAGGGCCGCGGGGATACTAAAGCCCCGAAATCATCTCAAGATAACGAAGTGGACTATCGTACAAGTATTGACATAATGAACATTTAGAAAATACAATTTGGTACAAGTGACTTTGGGCAAGCTGGAGAAGGTTGTGTACTGATGTTGGTACTAAACCCTAACCTAACCGTCCAAGGCCTAATACACGTTATCCAAGGCCTAACATAGTACATATATGTGCTATACTACGCCTAGCAATATTTAAGTTTGGGTTTTAGCTTTATTTTATCCGGACTATTAAGGGAATAGTACCCAACTCTACTAATTGTCCATATCATTTATATATGTACGCTGGTCCACCTAGGACGGCCTGGCACAATACTCCCTCTCCTTGTTCCTCTCCTCCACCACCCTAACCAATTACCATCCCCATTTCATCCCAATTTCCCAAGCCCCAATCTTCCTCTTCACCTGGACGGTCACCATTCCTTCATCCCGTCCCATCCCACATCCTTCTCCTGAGCCCTTCCACGTGTTCTACTGTTGTAATGACTTAGCGCTCTCTCCTGATAGTTCCCGTCTGCCCCCCCCCCCCCCCACACACTATAATTGACTTCTCTTTTACCATTTAATCTTGGCCTTGTCCGCACCCCACGATACCTCGCGCCCCCCTCCCCCATGCTGGGGGGTGGGGGTGCTAACCTCGGAGCTGGCATGCACACAGCTCCTGAACTCGACCAATGAGGTGGTAGAGGTACTTGGAATCAAGGTAGAACATATAAATCTAATTATTATTCTAATATACAAACCGCCAGATGCAACAGTTGAGGAATTCACTGAGCAGATACAGAAAATAGAGAATATCCTTGATAACCCAGCAAACCCGGCACCAGATATTATCTTCCTCGGAGACTTCAATCTACCCAGTTTACAATGGAGAATAGTAAACAATAACATTATAGCAGGAAATCAACCTGGAAATAACCAACGACAGCCCAAGAGAAACAACAAGAGAGAAGGGCTATTCAATAAATTCCATTTTATTAATAATAGGATAGACTGGGAGAAAATAAACAGGGAACTTACAAACATTCAATGGGAAAATGTTCTAAGTAATAAAAATCCTACACGAGGAATTAAGGTCAATTAAGTTTAGGTTCATAATGTTAGGAGCCGATGCTCATTTGTGTATAAGGTATGTAATGTTTACATTCATGGCATCTATACTGTGTGACGTCATCGTCTGTTGTCAATAAAAGTCACGTGGGTCATACGTGTTTCCCTTCCCAGCTAAGTGTACCAGCGTCTCTCCCTCCCTACTATCCTCAGCCAGTCCCCGTAAAGTCTGGGAACTTTCACCCAGAAGATAGTAAGAACACCCGCTGGCTTGTTCATCCTGTAGGGCGAGTTTACATATCTCATTGTAAGTATACCTACCATGACTTACCGAGCAGGAATACCTCCCTTGGTGGGGGTGGTGGTATACCTCACAGCATCTACCCCGCCCCCCCGCCTCACACAACACGCACTCTACACCAATACTTTTGTCTACTGAATGTTGGGTATCTGGTGTGGCCAGCTCCTGACTGGCCCATCACGGCAGCCCGTCTTGTGACTGACAGCCAATAATCAAGCTGACAGCTGTCACCTCAGAGCAGCCTGTCTTGTGACTGACAGAGGCAATAATGAAGGTGACAGTTGTCACCACCTGGTGTCACCTCAGAGCAGCCTGTCATGTGACTGACAGAGGCAATAATGAAGGTGACAGTTGTCACCACCTGGTGTCACCTCAGAGCAGCCCGTCTTGTGACTGACAGAGGCAATAATGAAGGTGACAGTTGTCACCACCTGGTGTCACCTCAGAGCAGCCTGTCATGTGACTGACAGAGGCAATAATGAAGGTGACAGTTGTCACCACCTGGTGTCACCTCAGAGCAGCCTGTCATGTGACTGACAGAGGCAATAATCAAGGTGACAGTTGTCACCACCTGGTGTCACCTCAGAGCAGCCCGTCTTGTGACTGACAGAGGCAATAATCAAGGTGACAGGTGAGCCTACCTTCCCCCGCCTCCATCACAAACACTCACCTGCAACACAAGAGGAGACAAACATTACAAAGTCATACATCACAGGGTAAAATAACTTACTGAACTACGTGACAAGTGATTAATGAGACAACTTGAGATGTGGTCACACACTCGGGTCTCTACAGGACCACAGCTCGCCGCGTGAAGGCCTCACCCCCACACCCGCCACCACCACACACCCACAACTCTCACAAACACTTTATATAAACACTTAACACAACTACTCAAGCACTTTACAGGTCAACGTGACTGTCACTCCACAAGACCTCACCACAGATCTCATCTCAGGAATCTGTACACCTGTTGATTGACGGTTGAGAGGCGGGACCAAAGAGCCAGAGCTCAACCCCCGCAAACAAACCTAGGTGAGTAACTAGGTGAGTACAGACGTCACTATAAACAATCCATCATTTGACATCATTCTCGCACAAGAAGTCACACAGTATTACTAGAAGGAATTGTATAAATGACGCTCAAGTTATTTTAGCATTACACCACGACAATAATAATTATTATTATTACAATTAAAAAATACTGAAGCAAATAAATAGTTAACTAAATCAAGTGAGAGTGGGAGGGGGGGGGGGGGGGCTGGTGGGAGGGAAAGTGGAAATTCAAGTGGAAGCCACCATTCATGAGAGGGCAGATATTCCAGGGCAGATAATATTTGTATTGACAAACATAAATTGACAAAATATTATAAAATATATTAATATATGAAAAATATTTAAATTGACATAAAATATCACCAAATTAAATGTGTACGACACTCTTGTGAGGTCCATGTTGGTGAAAGTCCTGAACCTTCCGGTCGACGACTCTCAATGGGAGCAAACAACCCTCCCTGTAAGACTCGGCGGCCTTGGTGTCTGCACAGCCTCACAAATTGTTCTACCAGCCTTCCTTTCCTCCCATACATCGCACGACCTCGTAAGACATCTCCTACCTGAACCCCTGAGTGATTCAGCAGGAATACACACTCCTGCTTTCACTGAATGTTCAAATCAGTGGGATGCTCCTGCAGCCTCCGCACCCATCATAGATCCTACAAAAAACAAACAGTCCAGCTGGGACCAGCTGGACTAGCTGATGCCATACTCAGCGCCACATCAGATAACAAGAAAGCCCGTCTCAGAGCAGTGCGTGCCCCCCCCCCATGCAGGAGACTTCCTCCTGGCAGTACCCATGTCAGCAATGGGCACGCGCCTAGATCTAGAACCCCCTTCGTGTAGCAGTGGCCCTCCGCCTTGGTGCCCCAATTCACACTGAATACAAGTGTATCAGCAACAGAGTGGAAGGAGACCAATATGGACTGCATGGGTTGCACTGCGGAAAATCCAAGGGGTGGCATGCAAGACACAACGAGGTCAATGACATCAAGAGGAGCCTTATCTCAGCTCAGTGCCCAGCGCTGAGCTGAGACAAGCCAATTGTAACATTAGCAGTCTCATTAACATTAGCAGTCTCCTAATGAGACTATTAGCAGTGAGTCTCCATTAGCAGTCATTAGCAGACTGCTAATGTAACATTAGCAGTCTCCCTGGTGTAGTGGTAAGACACTCGCCTGGCGTTCCGCGAGCGCTATGTCATGGGTTCGTATCCTGGCCGGGGAGGATTTACTGGGCACAATTCCTTAACTGTAGCCTCTGTTTAACTCAACAGTAAAATGTGTACTTGGTTGTAACAAGGATTCTTCGCGGCGGGGATCGTATTCCAGGGACCTGCCCGAAACGCTACGCGTACTAGTGGCTCTACAATAATGTAACAACTCTTCTATATATCTCAAACAAAAAAAAAATATATTACAACCACAGTAACATGATACAGCAGTGAGAAAATCCACATCAGAGTTCATGTGGAGTGTATCATGTTCATTATTATTGTCGTGTGGGAGGTGTAAACACTGGAGGGTACTGACGCAGGCTGTGTTGACATTACCAGCGGGCGGGTGACAGTCACCTGACTCTAGTAGTTGTGGAAGCTGTGTCAAATCGCTGCAGTTTTGCTTTTTCCCACCTGCAGCGATTTGGCAGAGGTGTTTTTAGTTACATTGGCGACTGCAGTGATTTGTCACGGAAAAAAGTTCACTGGTAGCTGACAGCTTCGATTAGGCCTAGTAAATTCCTCCCCCCCCCCACCCTGGTCTCGTGTGCCTGTGCGGGTGTCGGGAAAGCGGAATGTATTCAAGGAGAAGATTGCTGAAGCCAATTCCATCTACAATTTTAAAAGGAAATATGACGAAAGGGTCATATAGATTGAGAATTACTGCATGAGGTACACACGACGAGGCGGCGGGTCATGCAGAGCTAGAGCTCTCTCAGCCGGTGTCAGTGCTAGGTAAGGACACTGCCGCTGACGGGTGCCGTGAGGGGACCCTCATAGGAACATAACCGGTGACAAGCAATTACAGATCAACACTCACGCAGAATTTAAAAAGGAATTCAACATCACGAGGAATTCACTGCAGGAACTGACCTGCACAAGCAAGCTGATGGTGCCCGCATGTTAGGAACGGTTAAGTGCAATAGAGCTGTTACACAGGTATTTTGACTTGCTGAATTGTAATACAAATAAAATTACAGATTAGCTGTTGTTAGGTGTGTGAGAGTGGAGGCAAAAGCTTAGTGATTCACCAGGTGGTGATGCTGGCGCTGCCCTGATGAACGATTGGGCAGCCTCTCTCACATGGTGGGAACCTCTCACAAGAGCAGCAGCCCCCCACACTCTCAGAACCTCTCACAAGAGCAGCAGCCCCCACACTCTCAGAACCTCTCACAAGAGCAGCAGCCCCCCACACTCAGAACCTCTCACAAGAGCAGCCCCCCACACTCTCAGAACCTCTCACAAGAGCAGCCCCCCACACTCTCAGAACCTCTCACAAGAGCAGCAGCCCCCACACTCTCAGAACCACTCACAAGAGCAGCCCCCCACACTCTCAGAACCTCTCACAAGAGCAGCAGCCCCCACACTCTCAGAACCTCTCACAAGAGCAGCAGCCCCCACTCAACCTCTCACAAGAGCAGCAGCCCCACACTCTCAGAACCTCTCACAAGAGCAGCCCCCCACACTCTCACAACCTCTCACAAGAGCAGCCCCCCACACTCTCAGAACCACTCACAAGAGCAGCCCCCCACACTCACACAACCTCTCACAAGAGCAGCAGCCCCCACTCTCTCAGAACCTCTCACAAGAGCAGCAGCCCCACACTCTCAGAACCTCTCACAAGAGCAGCAGCCCCCACTCACACAACCTCTCACAAGAGCAGCAGCCCCCACTCACACAACCTCTCACAAGAGCAGCAGCCCCACACTCTCAGAACCTCTCACAAGATCAGTCCCCCACACTCTCAGAACCTCTCACAAGAGCCGCAGCCCCCACACTCTCAGAACCTCACAAGAGCAGCCCCCCACACTCTCAGAACCTCTCACAAGATCAGCCCCCCACACTCAGAACCTCTCACAAGAGCAGCAGCCCCCACACTCTCAGAACCTCTCACAAGAGCAGCAGACCCCCACACTCTCAGAACCTCTCACAAGAGCAGCAGACCCCACACTCTCAGAACCTCTCACAAGAGCAGCCCCCACACTCTCAGAACCTCTCACAAGAGCAGCAGCCCCCCACACTCTCAGAACCTCTCACAAGAGCAGCAGCCCCCCACACTCTCAGAACCTCTCACAAGAGCAGCAGCCCCCCACACTCTCAGAACCTCTCACAAGAGCAGCAGCCCCCCACACTCTCAGAACCTCTCACAAGAGCAGCAGCCCCCCACACTCTCAGAACCTCTCACAAGAGCAGCCCCCCACACTCTCAGAACCTCTCACAAGAGCAGCAGCCCCCCCACTCTCAGAACCTCTCACAAGAGCAGCCCCCCACACTCTCAGAACCTCTCACAAGAGCAGCAGCCCCCACACTCTCAGAACCTCTCACAAGAGCAGCCCCACACACTCTCAGAACCTCTCACAAGAGCAGCCGCCCCCACACTCTCAGAACCTCTCACAAGAGCAGCAGCCCCACACTCTCAGAACCTCTCACAAGATCAGCAGCCCCCCACACTCTCAGAACCTCTCACAAGAGCAGCCCCCCACACTCTCAGAACCTCTCACAAGAGCAGCCCCCCACACTCTCAGAACCTCTCACAAGAGCAGCAGCCCCCCACACTCTCAGAACCTCTCACAAGAGCAGCAGCCCCCCACACTCTCAGAACCTCTCACAAGAGCAGCAGCCCCCACACTCTCAGAACCTCTCACAAGAGCAGCAGCCCCACACTCTCAGAACCTCTCACAAGAGCAGCCCCCCCACACTCTCAGAACCTCTCACAAGAGCAGCAGCCCCCCACACTCTCAGAACCTCTCACAAGAGCAGCAGCCCCCCACACTCACACAACCTCTCACAAGAGCAGCAGCCCCCCACACTCACACAACCTCTCACAAGAGCAGCAGCCCACACTCACACAACCTCTCACAAGAGCAGCAGCCCCCACTCACACAACCTCTCACAAGAGCAGCCCCCCACACTCTCAGAACCTCTCACAAGAGCAGCAGCCCCACACACTCACACAACCTCTCACAAGAGCAGCAGCCCCACACTCTCAGAACCACTCACAAGAGCAGCAGCCCCCACACTCACACAACCACTCACAAGAGCAGCAGCCCCCCACACTCACACAACCTCTCACAAGAGCAGCAGCCCCCACTCACAGAACCTCTCACAAGAGCAGCCCCCCCACACTCTCAGAACCTCTCACAAGAGCAGCCCCCCACACTCTCAGAACCTCTCACAAGAGCAGCAGCCCCCCACACACTCTCAGAACCTCTCACGAGAGCAGCCCCCCACACTCTCAGAACCTCTCACAAGAGCAGCAGCCCCCACACTCTCAGAACCTCTCACAAGAGCAGCCCCCCACACTCTCAGAACCTCTCACAAGAGCAGCAGCCCCCCACACTCTCAGAACCTCTCACAAGAGCAGCAGCCCCACACTCTCAGAACCTCTCACAAGAGCAGCAGCCCCACACTCTCAGAACCTCTCACAAGAGCAGCAGCCCCACACTCTCACACAACCTCTCACAAGAGCAGCCCCCCACACTCTCAGAACCTCTCACAAGAGCAGCAGCCCCACACTCTCAGAACCTCTCACAAGAGCAGCAGCCCCCACTCTCAGAACCTCTCACAAGAGCAGCCCCCACTCACACAACCTCTCACAAGAGCAGCCCCCCACACTCTCAGAACCTCTCTCAAGAGCAGCCCCCCACACTCTCAGAACCTCTCACAAGAGCAGCAGACCCCACTCACAAAACCTCTCACAAGAGCAGCAGCCCCCACTCACACAACCTCTCACAAGAGCAGCAGCCCCCCACTCACACAACCTCTCACAAGAGCAGCAGCCCCCACTCACACAACCTCTCACAAGAGCAGCAGCCCCCACTCACACAACCTCTCACAAGAGCAGCAGCCCCCACTCACACAACCTCTCACAAGAGCAGCAGCCCCCACTCACACAACCTCTCACAAGAGCAGCAGCCCCCACTCACAGAGCACACAGGATACCGAGTACCTAAGCCTCCAGACCCCTCACAAGGTCAACAACCTGCAGGTGGTCACAGTCTTCTTGGTCACCATTTATGCACCTCAAAAGCTGCTCTCACTGACCAAGAATTAGTCAGATTGACTTCATCTGTTACAGAAGCGTTTGGGCAGCAGACTAGTGACGTCTCCCTCTCAGTCACCTTAACCTGGTCGCCTCACAGACTATCTTGAGGTTATCTTGAGATGATTTCGGGGCTTAACGTCCCCGCGGCCCGGTCCTCGATCAAGCCTCCTTATTGTTACACCCCCCCCCCCCAGAGAGCAGGCTGTAGCAGCTGTCTAACTCCCAGGTACGTAATTACTGCTAAGTGAACAGGGCATTATGGTGAAAGAAACTCTGCCCATTTCTTTCTGCCTCCACCGGGGATCGAGCCCGGAACCTTAGGACTACGAATCCCGAGCGCTGCCCACTTAGCTGTCAGGTCCCCAGGTCGTGTCATTCAACACACCAAACATTTATATATTTTCGCGGGGAAATAAGAAAAAGATGATCTTGATGATGAGTTACTGTTCACTGGTGGGGACCCCGGCTGAGTGCACACACACTGCTGGGGACCCCGGCTGAGTGCACACACACACACTGGTGGGGACCCCGGCTGAGTGCACACACACACTGGTGGGGACCCCGGCTGAGTGCACACACACACACTGGTGGGGACCCCGGCTGAGTGCACACACACACACTGGTGGGGACCCCGGCTGAGTGCACACACACACTGGTGGGGACCCCGGCTGGGTGCACACACACTGGATGGGACCCCGGCTGAGTGCACACACACTGGTGGGGACCCCGGCTGAGTGCACACACACACTGGTGGGGACCCCGGCTGAGTGCACACACACACTGGTGGGGACCCCGGCTGAGTGCACACACACACTGGTGGGGACCCCGGCTGAGTGCACACACACACTGGTGGGGACCCCGGCTGAGTGCACACACACACTGGTGGGGACCCCGGCTGAGTGCACACACACACTGGTGGGGACCCCGGCTGAGTGCACACACACACTGGTGGGGACCCCGGCTGAGTGCACACACACACTGGTGGGGACCCCGGCTGAGTGCACACACACACACTGGTGGGGACCCCGGCTGAGTGCACACACACACTGGTGGGGACCCCGGCTGAGTGCACACACACACTGGTGGGGACCCCGGCTGAGTGCACACACACACACTGGTGGGGACCCCGGCTGAGTGCACACACACACTGGTGGGGACCCCGGCTGAGTGCACACACACACACACTGGTGGGGACCCCGGCTGAGTGCACACACACACTGGTGGGGACCCCGGCTGAGTGCACACACACACTGGTGGGGACCCCGGCTGAGTGCACACACACACTGGTGGGGACCCCGGCTGAGTGCACACACACACACTGGTGGGGACCCCGGCTGAGTGCACACACACACTGGTGGGGACCCCGGCTGAGTGCACACACACACACTGGTGGGGACCCCGGCTGAGTGCACACACACACTGGTGGGGACCCCGGCTGAGTGCACACACACACTGGTGGGGACCCCGGCTGAGTGCACACACACACTGGTGGGGACCCCGGCTGAGTGCACACACACACACTGGTGGGGACCCCGGCTGAGTGCACACACACACTGGTGGGGACCCCGGCTGAGTGCACACACACACTGGTGGGGACCCCGGCTGAGTGCACACACACACTGGTGGGGACCCCGGCTGAGTGCACACACACACTGGTGGGGACCCCGGCTGAGTGCACACACACACTGGTGGGGACCCCGGCTGAGTGCATACACACACTGGTGGGGACCCCGGCTGAGTGCACACACACACACACTGGTGGGGACCCCGGCTGAGTGCACACACACACACACACACACACACTGGTGGGGACCCCGGCTGAGTGCACACACTCACTGGTGGGGACCCCGGCTGAGTGCACACACACACTGGTGGGGACCCCGGCTGAGTGCACACACACACACTGGTGGGGACCCCGGCTGAGTGCACACACACACTGGTGGGGACCCCGGCTGAGTGCACACACACACACTGGTGGGGACCCCGGCTGAGTGCACACACACACACTGGTGGGGACCCCGGCTGAGTGCACACACACACACTGGTGGGGACCCCGGCTGAGTGCACACACACACTGGTGGGGACCCCGGCTGAGTGCACACACACACTGGTGGGGACCCCGGCTGAGTGCACACACACACTGGTGGGGACCCCGGCTGAGTGCACACACACACACTGGTGGGGACCCCGGCTGAGTGCACACACACACACTGGTGGGGACCCCGGCTGAGTGCACACACACACACACTGGTGGGGACCCCGGCTGAGTGCACACACACACACACTGGTGGGGACCCCGGCTGAGTGCACACACACACACACTGGTGGGGACCCCGGCTGAGTGCACACACACACTGGTGGGGACCCCGGCTGAGTGCACACACACACTGGTGGGGACCCCGGCTGAGTGCACACACACACTGGTGGGGACCCCGGCTGAGTGCACACACACACACTGGTGGGGACCCCGGCTGAGTGCACACACACACACTGGTGGGGACCCCGGCTGAGTGCACACACACACTGGTGGGGACCCCGGCTGAGTGCACACACACACTGGTGGGGACCCCGGCTGAGTGCACACACACACTGGTGGGGACCCCGGCTGAGTGCACACACACACTGGTGGGGACCCCGGCTGAGTGCGCACACACTGGTGGGGACCCCGGCTGAGTGCACACACACACACTGGTGGGGACCCCGGCTGAGTGCACACACACACACACTGGTGGGGACCCCGGCTGAGTGCACACACACACACCGGTGGGGACCCCGGCTGAGTGCGCACACACTGGTGGGGACCCCGGCTGAGTGCACACACACACACTGGTGGGGACCCCGGCTGAGTGCACACACACACACTGGTGGGGACCCCGGCTGAGTGCACACGTTCACAATGTAAACACACTTCCACTATAAACTAACAAACAACATTTTCAACAGCGACGTTGCCACAATAATAATTCATTGTTTTGAAAATAATAATTTTCATTAATAATAATTCATTGTTGAGCTCTTTACGGGCTCGCCATAGCCCGTGCTACATGGACACTTTGTTCCGAGTAGCTAAATCTAAAAACATCATCATCATTCATTGTTTTACGGGCTATTCATGCCCGTGCCACCTCTTGGTTAGCTTAATCTTTCACTCTTTCACAATCAATCAATTCATTGTATCGGGGGACAGGAAGCCAGAGTGTATTTATACACGTTAGGCTTATATCGAGCCCTTCCCCCCCCCCAATCAAGGGGGAATTGCTGACCCCGCCCAGGAGGCAACCCCACACGACAACCTGACTCACTCCTGGGTACCTACTTACTGCTGGGTGAACAGAGGCATTTGGTGAAAGGAAATGCGCCCAATCATTTATGTCCAGTCTGGGATTTGGACCCGGAATTATTAACTGTTGGTCGAGAACGAACCCGACTGTACTACAAGGACCCTTTACATACATACATATGTAAGTAATATATATATATATATATATATATATATATATATATATATATATATATATATATATATATATATATATATATATATATATAGGTGGTGCCCCATTGGGCACAACCCCACGGGCAGGGGGGCACCACCCCACGGGCAGGGGGGCACCACCCCACGGGCAGGGGGGCACCACCCCACGGGCAGGGGGGCACCACCCCACGGGCAGGGGGGGCACAACCCCACGGGCAGGGGGGGGGCACAACCCCACGGGCAGGGGGGCACAACCCCACGGGCAGGGGGGCACAACCCCACGGGCAGGGGGGCACAACCCCACGGGCAGGGGGGCACAACCCCACGGGCAGGGGGGCACAACCCCACGGGCAGGGGGGCACAACCCCACGGGCAGGGGGGCACAACCCCACGGGCAGGGGGGCACAACCCCACGGGCAGGGGGGGGCACAACCCCACGGGCAGGGGGGCACAACCCCACGGGCAGGGGGGCACAACCCCACGGGCAGGGGGGCACAACCCCACGGGCAGGGGGGCACAACCCCACGGGCAGGGGGGCACAACCCCACGGGCAGGGGGGCACAACCCCACGGGCAGGGGGGCACAACCCCACGGGCAGGGGGGCACAACCCCACGGGCAGGGGGGCACAACCCCACGGGCAGGGGGGCACAACCCCACGGGCAGGGGGGCACAACCCCACGGGCAGGGGGGCACAACCCCACGGGCAGGGGGGGCACAACCCCACGGGCAGGGGGGCACAACCCCACGGGCAGGGGGGCACAACCCCACGGGCAGGGGGGCACAACCCCACGGGCAGGGGGGCACAACCCCACGGGCAGGGGGCACAACCCCACGGGCAGGGGGGCACAACCCCACGGGCAGGGGGGCACAACCCCACGGGCAGGGGGGCACAACCCCACGGGCAGGGGGCACACCCCACGGGCAGGGGGGCACAACCCCACGGGCAGGGGGGCACAACCCCACGGGCAGGGGGGCACAACCCCACGGGCAGGGGGGCACAACCCCACGGGCAGGGGGGCACAACCCCACGGGCAGGGGGGCACAACCCCACGGGCAGGGGGGCACAACCCCACGGGCAGGGGGGCACAACCCCACGGGCAGGGGGGCACAACCCCACGGGCAGGGGGGCACAACCCCACGGGCAGGGGGGGGCACAACCCCACGGGCAGGGGGGCACAACCCCACGGGCAGGGGGGCACAACCCCACGGGCAGGGGGCACAACCCCACGGGCAGGGGGGCACAACCCCACGGGCAGGGGGGCACAACCCCACGGGCAGGGGGGCACAACCCCACGGGCAGGGGGGCACAACCCCACGGGCAGGGGGGCACAACCCCACGGGCAGGGGGGCACAACCCCACGGGCAGGGGGGCACAACCCCACGGGCAGGGGGGCACAACCCCACGGGCAGGGGGGCACAACCCCACGGGCAGGGGGCACAACCCCACGGGCAGGGGGGGGCACACAACCCCACGGGCAGGGGGGCACAACCCCACGGGCAGGGGGGCACAACCCCACGGGCAGGGGGGCACAACCCCACGGGCAGGGGGGGGCAGGGGGGCACAACCCCACGGGCAGGGGGGCACCACCCCAGGGGGGCACCACCCCACGGGCAGGGGGGCACCACCCCACGGGCAGGGGGGCACCACCCCACGGGCAGGGGGCACCACCCCACGGGCAGGGGGGCACAACCCCACGGGCAGGGGGGCACAACCCCACGGGCAGGGGGGCACAACCCCACGGGCAGGGGGGCACAACCCCACGGGCAGGGGGGCACAACCCCACGGGCAGGGGGGCACAACCCCACGGGCAGGGGGGCACAACCCCACGGGCAGGGGGGCACAACCCCACGGGCAGGGGGGCACAACCCCACGGGCAGGGGGGCACAACCCCACGGGCAGGGGGGCACAACCCCACGGGCAGGGGGGCACAACCCCACGGGCAGGGGGGCACAACCCCACGGGCAGGGGGGCACAACCCCACGGGCAGGGGGGCACAACCCCACGGGCAGGGGGGCACAACCCCACGGGCAGGGGGGCACAACCCCACGGGCAGGGGGGCACAACCCCACGGGCAGGGGGGCACAACCCCACGGGCAGGGGGGCACAACCCCACGGGCAGGGGGGCACAACCCCACGGGCAGGGGGGCACAACCCCACGGGCAGGGGGGCACAACCCCACGGGCAGGGGGGCACAACCCCACGGGCAGGGGGGCACAACCCCACGGGCAGGGGGGCACAACCCCACGGGCAGGGGGGCACAACCCCACGGGCAGGGGGGCACAACCCCACGGGCAGGGGGGCACAACCCCACGGGCAGGGGGGCACAACCCCACGGGCAGGGGGGCACCACCCCACGGGCAGGGGGGGCACAACCCCACGGGCAGGGGGGGCACAACCCCACGGGCAGGGGGGGCACAACCCCCAGCCTGATGGTGTGCGTGTGTGCTGGTAGTCTCCGTCTCATCAAGGTAAGTGGACCATAGTTGGTGACATTCTTGTGTGTTGGTGTCGTGTTGGTGTCGTGTTGGTGTCATGTTGGTGTCATGTTGGTGTCATGTTGGTGACATGTTGGTGTCATGTTGGTGTCATGTTGGTGTCATGTTGGTGTCATGTTGGTGTCATGTTGATGACATGTTGGTGACATGTTGGTGACATGTCACAGATGGTGAGGCAGCAGCTGCTGAGTCAGGCTCACACTACTGTTCCAGTGCTCTAACTCTTGTTATACTCTTAATCTGTGCTAGACGAGGTGGTATGTAGCTGTCTACATGTCCCATCTCGGCTGGCGGGTTTGCAACTTGATCTGCATTGTCATTCCCTGCAATACCAACATGACTTGGCACCCAGTCTATAAGTATTTGAAGACCTTGACGTTTGAATGTTTGTATTAATGTTTTAACATTGGCGGTGAGACACATGTCACCCAAGTGTTCTTGTGGCCAGGATTTAATGGCTCTTCTCCATTCTCAATGTGTTGATTTCGGGGCTTTAGTGTCCCCGCGGCCCGGTCCTCGACCAGGCCTCCACCCCCAGGAACCAGCCCGTGACAGCTAACACCCAGGTACCTATTTTACTGCTAGGTAACAGGGGCATAGGGTGAAAGAAACTCTGCCCATTGTTTCTCGCCGGCGCCCGGGATCGAACCCGAGACCACAGGATCACAAGTCCAGCGTGCTGTCCGCTCGGCCGACCGGCTCCCAGGAGTGGAGTGGAGGAGTGTGCTGTGAGTGGTGAATGTTGTTAAAGACTACAGCTCCAGAGGTTGTGTGTACTAAGTGGGTATACTGCTACTATTAACCACCACACACTCCTATACTAACTTATATAGTGACCACTGCGCACTTCTTCCCACTATCAACATAAACAAAACAAAGACAAAAGGCCGTCACTCACGAGCTGATATGAGCCAGACTGTAAACAATAGGAGTGACTGGTTCACTCACCAAACCCCAAAAGACATTGATAAATTTGTTGGCCTTAATAACCAAATTGATGAGAGCTGATTCAAAGGTCCTCCGTCAGAGGCGCACGAGGGGGCCAAGCAACTCTCGGAAGATGATAATGAAATAGTAAGAAAGTAACTACATAAAGATGACCAATAAAGATATACGACACACGGAAAGACAGTACCACACACATCCCACTGGAAGACACACAGTTACACACACAGATCACACTAACCTGACACACAGTTGTTTACAACGGTCAAGTAGTCAGGGAAGACACGACTACAGAGCGGGAAGACAGTGCTAGACTTTACCAGCACCACTGGAAGACAAACATCCGCACGCTGAGTGGCGACCCCGAGGGTAAGGCTACATACACACAGGGACCCCGAGGGTAAGGCTGCACACAGGGACCCCGAGGGTAAGGCTACACACAGGGACCCCGAGGGTAAGGCTACACACAGGGACCCCGAGGGTAAGGCTACACACAGGGACCCCGAGGGTAAGGCTACACACAGGGACCCCGAGGGTAAGGCTACACACAGGGACCCCGAGGGTAAGGCTACACACAGGGACCCCGAGGGTAAGGCTACACACAGGGACCCCGAGGGTAAGGCTACACACAGGGACCCCGAGGGTAAGGCTACACACAGGGACCCCGAGGGTAAGGCTACACACAGGGACCCCGAGGGTAAGGCTACACACAGGGACCCCGAGGGTAAGGCTACACACAGGGACCCCGAGGGCAAGGCTACACACAGGGACCCCGAGGGCAAGGCTACACACAGGGACCCCGAGGGTAAGCTAACACAGGGACCCCGAGGGTAAGGCTACACACAGGGACCCCGAGGGTAAGCACACACAGGGACCCCGAGGGTAAGGCTACACACAGGGACCCCGAGGGCAAGGCTACACACAGGGACCCCGAGGGCAAGGCTACACACAGGGACCTACACGAGGGCAAGGCTACACACAGGGACCCCGAGGGCAAGGCTACACACAGGACCCCGAGGGCAAGGCTACACACAGGGACCCCGAGGGCAAGGCTACACACAGGGACCCCGAGGGCAAGGCTACACACAGGGACCCCGAGGGCAAGGCTACACACAGGGACCCCGAGGCAAGGCTACACACAGGGACCCCGAGGGCTACACACAGGCTACACACAGGGACCCCGAGGGCAAGGCTACACACAGGGACCCCGAGGGCAAGGCTACACACAGGGACCCCGAGGGCAAGGCTGCACACAGGGACCCCGAGGGCAAGGCTGCACACAGGGACCCCGAGGGCAAGGCTGCACACAGGGACCCCGAGGGCAAGGCTGCACACAGGGACCCCGAGGGCAAGGCTGCACACAGGGACCCCGAGGGTGGCTGCACACAGGGACCCCGAGGGTAAGGCTGCACACAGGGACCCCGAGGGTAAGGCTGCACACAGGGACCCCGAGGGTAAGGCTGCACACAGGGACCCCGAGGGTAAGGCTGCACACAGGGACCCCGAGGGAAAGGCTGCACACAGGGACCCCGAGGGAAAGGCTGCACACAGGGACCCCGAGGGTAAGGCTGCACACAGGGACCCCGAGGGTAAGGCTACACACAGGGACCCCGAGGGTAAGGCTACACACAGGGACCCCGAGGGTAAGGTTACACACAGGGACCCCGAAGGTAAGGTTACACACACAGGGATCCCGAGGGTAAGGTTACACACACAGGGACCCCGAGGGTAAGGCTACACACAGGGACCCCGAGGGTAAGGCTACACACAGGGACCCCGAGGGTAAGGCTACACACAGGGACCCCGAGGGTAAGGCTACACACAGGGACCCCGAGGGTAAGGCTACACACAGGGACCCCGAGGGTAAGGCTACACACAGGGACCCCGAGGGTAAGGCTACACACAGGGACCCCGAGGGTAAGGCTACACACAGGGACCCCGAGGATAAGGCTACACACAGGGACCCCGAGGGTAAGGTTACACACACAGGGACCCCGAGGGTAAGGTTACACACACAGGGATCCCGAGGGTAAGGTTACACACACAGGGATCCCGAGGGTAAGGTTACACACACAGGGATCCCGAGGGTAAGGTTACACACACAGGGATCCCGAGGGTAAGGCTACACACAGGGACCCCGAGGGACCCCGATACACACACAGGGACCCCGAGGGTAAGGCTACACACAGGGACCCCGAGGGTAAGGCTACACACAGGGACCCCGAGGGTAAGGCTACACACAGGGACCCCGAGGGTAAGGCTACACACAGGGACCCCGAGGGTAAGGCTACACACAGGGACCCCGAGGGTAAGGCTACACACAGGGACCCCGAGGGTAAGGCTGCACACAGGGACCCCGAGGGTAAGGCTGCACACAGGGACCCCGAGGGTAAGGCTGCACACAGGGACCCCGAGGGTAAGGCTACACACAGGGACCCCGAGGGTAAGGCTACACACAGGGATCCCGAGGGTAAGGCTACACACAGGGACCCCGAGGGTAAGGCTACACACAGGGACCCCGAGGGTAAGGCTACACACAGGGACCCCGAGGGTAAAGCTACACACAGGGACCCCGAGGGTAAAGCTACACACAGGGACCCCGAGGGTAAGGCTACACACAGGGACCCCGAGGGTAAGGCTACACACAGGGACCCCGAGGGTAAGGCTACACACAGGGACCCCGAGGGTAAGGCTACACACAGGGACCCCGAGGGTAAAGCTACACACAGGGACCCCGAGGGTAAGGCTACACACAGGGACCCCGAGGGTAAGGCTACACACAGGGACCCCGAGGGTAAGGCTACACACAGGGACCCCGAGGGTAAGGCTACACACAGGGACCCCGAGGGTAAAGCTACACACAGGGACCCCGAGGGTAAAGCTACACACAGGGACCCCGAGGGTAAGGCTACACACAGGGACCCCGAGGGTAAAGCTACACACAGGGACCCCGAGGGTAAAGCTACACACAGGGACCCCGAGGGTAAAGCTACACACAGGGACCCCGAGGGTAAAGCTACACACAGGGACCCCGAGGGTAAAGCTACACACAGGGACCCCGAGGGTAAGGCTACACACAGGGACCCCGAGGGTAAGGCTACACACAGGGACCCCGAGGGTAAAGCTACACACAGGGACCCCGAGGGTAAGGCTACACACAGGGACCCCGAGGGTAAGGCTACACACAGGGACCCCGAGGGTAAGGCTACACACAGGGACCCCGAGGGTAAGGCTCAATAACTAACACACAAGTGGACGGATGACGCACCATCCTCCTCCTCTGCCCTCCCTCAAGGAATTATTAAGGAACAGCTCCTGCGACATAATATATTTTGTGCACTGTTGTGAGTTGCATCATGTAGTGTAATACCAGTTGATTGACAGTTGAGAGGCGGGCTGAAAGAGCTAAGCTCAACCCCCGCAAACACAACTAGGTGAATACCAAGACACAATGGTCACTCGCGCCTAGTGGTATCTCAGGCTCTAAGTTGTCAATGTCTTCCTCGTTCTGGGTGAAGATCAAGTCCAGTGTACTTCGTGCACCTCCCCTTACTCTTGTGTCCTCCTTTACATGTGTTAAGAGCTTTCTTTCTTACACTTCCAATAATTTCGCTCTCCGTGTTTCTTCCCCATCATGAGGATTACTGGAATCCCAGTCAATGTCTCCATGGTTCAGGTCCCCCATCACTAGAAGTTTGGCTCTCATTGTGTGTGTGTGTGTCACTGTTGTTGCTCTCTGCTATGTATTGTTCTTGTTGTTGTTGTTATATTCCTGCCTGGGGTCTTCTGCTTGGTGGTGGGGGGGGGGGGGGGGTCTTGAGATTCTTCTTCTTGACATGATTTCGGGGCTTAGCGTCCTCGCGGCCCAGTTCTCAACCAGGCCTCCTTTTTGTTACACACCCTGACAGGGATAGGGACTACCAGCTGAGTGGACAGTGCTCGGTATTCGTAGTCCTAAGGTTCCGGGTTCGATTCCCGGTGAAGGCGAAAACAAATGGGCAGAGTTCCTTTCACCCTGATGCCCCTGTTCACCTACCAGTAGATTGGTACCTGGGAATTTTTAGACAGCTGCTACGGGAAACTTCCTGGGGGAGGGGGGGGTAACAAAAAGGAGGCATGGTCGAGGACCGGGCCGCGGGGACGCTAAGCCCCGAAATCATCTCAAGATAACCTCTCCATATAGCAGCCCGTAACAGCTGTCTAACTCCTTGGTACCTATCTACTGCTAGGTGAACAGGGGCATCAGGGTGAAAGGAACTCTGCCCATTTGTTTCCACCATCGTGGTGATTGTTCCCCGGGCCATAAAATTAAGTCACAAGCGCTGTCCACTCAGCCACCAAACCACGTGAGCGTGTGAGCGTGTGCTTGTGTGAGCTCTGCGTGTGGGTGTGTAACTGGTGTATTCACCTAGTTGAGTTTGCGGGGGTTGAGCTTTGCTCTTTCGGCCCGCCTCTCAACTGTCAATCAACTGTTTACTAACTACTTTTTTTTCTCTCTCTCTCCCCACCCTTCTCTTTCTTGCCTTATTTTTGTTGCCTGGTCGTAGAATTCAAGTAACCCTGTGAGACAGGACCTGCCATCCCTGAATCCATGTTGATTACACACACACACACACACACACCACACACACCACACCTCCACACACACACACACACACACACACACACACACACACACACACCCCCCAGGAAGCAGCCCGTGACAGGTGACTAACACCCAGGTACCTATTTACTGCTAGGTAACAGGGGCATTCAGGGTGAAAGAAACTTTGCCCAGTTGTTTCTGCCCGGTGCGGGAATCGAACCCGCGCCACAGAATTACGAGTCCAGCGCACTATCCACCAGGCCCCTTTTGTGTACTCACCTATATGTACTCACCTATATGTGCTTGCAGGATCGAGCATTGACTCTTGGATCCCGCCTTTCCAGCTATCGGTTGTTTACAGCAATGACTCCTGTCCCATTTCCCTATCATACCTAGTTTTAAAAGTATGAATAGTATTTGCTTCCACAACCTGTTCCCCAAGTGCATTCCATTTTCCCACTACTCTCACGCTAAAAGAAAACTTCCTAACATCTCTGTGACTCATCTGAGTTTCCAGTTTCCACCCATGTCCCCTCGTTCTGTTATTATTACGTGTGAACATTTCATCTATTTCCACTTTGTCAATTCCCCTGAGTATTTTATATGTCCCTATCATATCTCCTCTCTCCCTTCTTTTCTCTAGTGTCGTTAGGTTCAGTTCCTTCAGCCGCTCTTCATATCCCATCCCTCGTAACTCTGGGACAAGCCTCGTCGCAAACCTCTGAACCTTCTCCAGTTTCTTTATGTGTTTTTTCAGGTGGGGGCTCCATGATGGCGCGGCATACTCTAAGACGGGTCTCACGTAGGCAGTGTAAAGCGCCCTAAAAGCTTCCTCATTTAGGTTTCTGAATGAAGTTCTAATTTTCGCCAGTGTAGAGTACGCTGCTGTCGTTATCCTATTTATATGTGCCTCAGGAGTTAGATTAGGTGTCACATCCACTCCCAGGTCTCTTTCTCGAATCGTTACAGGTAGGCTGTTCCCCTTCATTGTGTACTGTCCCTTTGGTCTCCTGTCACCTGATCCCATTTCCATAACTTTACATTTACTGGTGTTAAACTCCAGTAGCCATTTCCCTGACCATCTCTGCAGCCTGTTTAAGTCCTCTTGGAGGATCCTACAATCCTCGTCTGTCACAACTCTTCTCATTAATTTTGCGTCATCTGCAAACATTGACATGTATGATTCCACTCCTGTAAACATATCATTTACGTAAATTAGAAAGAGGATTGGTCCCAGCACCGATCCTTGAGGTACTCCACTTGTTACTGTTCGCCAGTCCGACTTTTCGCCCCTTACCATTACCCTCTGGCTCCTTCCTGTTAGGTAGTTCTTCACCCATACTAGGGCCTTTCCGCTTACTCCTGCCTGCCTCTCAAGTTTGTATAGCAGTCTCATGTGCGGTACCGTATCAAAGGCCTTTTGGCAGTCAAGAAATATGCAGTCTGCCCAGCCTTCTCTGTCCTGCCTTTTCCACCTGTGTCCTTGTTACTTTATCATAGAATTCTAAAAGTGTGTGTGTGTGTGTGTTTGTTAGGCATGTGTGTGTGTGTGTGTGTGTGTGTGTGTATTCACCTAGTTGTGTTTGCGGGGGTTGAGCTCTGCTCTTTCGGTCCGCCTCTCAACTGTCAATCAACTGGTGTACAAAAGATTCTTGAGCCTATTGGGCTCTATCATATCTACATTTGAAACTGTGTATGGAGTCAGCCTCCACCACATCTGGAGTCCACTGGAGGCGGCCACTAAGTGGCTAGCGCGCGCGCTAACCACTTGTACTGGACAGAAGAGCAACAGTCTCCCCTTCATGCAGGTCAGCATTCA